AAGACACCACAAGGGCCATCCAGTCCAATCCCCTGTCATGCAGGAAAAAATCAAAATATTTGCAACAGATGGCTTCCAGCCTCTGTTAAAGACCTCCAAAGAAGGAGACTCTACCATACTCTGAGGAAGTGTGTTCCACTGTCGAACAGCTCTCACGGTCAGGAAGTTCCTCCTAATGTTGAGGTGGAATCTCTTTTCTTGTAGCTTGCATCTGCTGTTCCGAGTCCTACTCTTTGGAGTAGCAGAAAACAAACTTGCTTTCTCTGTAATATGACATCCCTTCAAATATTTAAGCAGGGCTATCATATCACCTCTTAACCATCTTTTCTCCAGGCTAAACATACCCTGTTCCCTAAGTCGTTCCTCATAGGGCTTGGTTTCTAGACCCTTCACCATTTTAGTTGCCCTCCTTTGGACATATCCAGTTTCTCCACATCCTTTTTGAATTGTGGTGCCCAGACAGAGTATTCCAGTGGACACAGTATTCCAGGTGAGGCCTGACCAAAGCAGAATAGAGGGACACTATTACTTCCCTTGATTTAGATTCTATACTACTATTGATGCAGTCTAAAATCGCATTGGTTTTTTTAGCTGCTGCATTCCACTGTTGACTCATGTTCAACTTGTTGTCTACTAGGACACCTAGATCCCTTTCAAACGTATCTTGTTAAGCCAGGTGTCCCCCACCTTATATCTATGCATTCCATTTTTCTGTCCTAAATATAGTACCCTACATTTCTCTATGTTGAAGTTCATTTTATTAGCTTTGGCCCAGCTTTCTAATCTATTAAGGTCATTTTGAATGTTCATCCTGTCTTCTGGGGTATTAGCTATTCCTCCTAATATGGTGTCATCTGCAAATTTGAGAAGCAAGCCTCCTATTCTTTCATCCAAGTCATTGATAAAGCTGTTGAAAAGCACTTGTCCCAGGACAGAACCCTGTGGCACCCCACTGATCACCTCTCTCCAGAATGAAGACTTTTAGTGATTATGGCATTACCTTCTAAATATTCACAGACTCTCTGTTTAATGAATTGTTCTAGAATCTTTCCCGGTATTGATGTTAGACTAATTGGGCGATAGTTGTTGGGATCCTCTTTCCCCCCCTTTTTGAAGATGGGGACAATGTTTGCCCTCCTCCAGTCTGTTGGGACTTCTCCTGTTCTCCAGGAGTTCTCAAAGATTATTGCCAGTGGCTCAGAGATTACATTTGCCAGTTCTTTTAATATCCTTGGATATAGTTCATTTGGTCCTGGAGACTTAAATTCATTTAGGTTAACCAAGTATCTCTATACTACCACTTCACTTATTCTGTGCTGCATTTCCCCTATTGTGTCCTATGCTCCATTTTCCTCAGGTTGAGCACCCTTTTCCTTTTGTGAGAAGACTGAGGCAAAGAAGGTGTTGAGTAGTTTTGCCTTTTCTCTGTCCCCTGTTAGAATTTCTCCATCTTCTCTTTGCAGTGCCCCTACCATTTCCTTCTTCTTTTTTTGCTATGGACATACTCCCCCAAATCCCTTTTTATTATTTTTAACGCCACTAGCAAGCCTGAGCTCATTCTGTGCTTTGGCTTTCCTGACTTTATCCCTACATGCGTTAGCTATTTGTTTGAATTCCTCTTCAGTGATTTTGCCCCCTTTCCAGTTCTTATACATCTCCTGTTTAAAACTTAGTTCAGTTGAAAGTGCTTTTGTCATCCAACCCGGCTTCTTGAGACACCTCCCATTTTTCCTTCTCATTGGAATAGTTTGAGATTGTGCATTCAGTATCACCCTTTTGAGAAACTCCCATCCACCCTGAAGTCCCTTCTCCTTTAGTATTCCTGACCATGGGATCACTCCCAGTGTTTCCCTAAGTTTATTGAAATCAGCTCTCCTAAAGTCTAGAATTGGTGTCTGACTATGCCTGGCTTCTCCTTTCCACTGTATAAGAAACTCAAGGAGAACATCCTTGTTGGTTAGGATCAGATCTAAAATAGCTGATGCCCTTGTTGCCTCTTCCACCTTTTGGATAATGAAATTGTCTTTGAGGCAAGTGAGGAATTTGCTAGAAGTTGAAGTATTGGATGAGTTTGACTTCAAGCAAATATCAGGATAGTTGAAGTCACCCATCAC